ATATAGATATAGATATAGATATAGATATAGATAGCTATAGATATAGATATATATTTCTGATGATGAGGAGAGATCTAATTGGAGTGATTTCAAGGCCATTTAGACGTTTGTAACTGGCTCACATAACCTATAAGACTGGAGGTGCTGATCTAGACACTGTCCATTAGTACATGAGCCTACTGAGGAGGGAAAGAAGAAATCAAAGATTAAAAATTCAGCAGCCCATATGTTTACCAAGGGAGAGATAAAGAGGGACCAGCTATTTTGAAAATATAGGAATAAGTTACATCATCACATAAGCTAATCAAATTGAGACTTTCAAGGGGGAAATACACACAGAGAGAACTCAAGGAAGATGAGGACTAAGTAAAGAACTGGAGGATAAGAAGGCCATTGGTAACATTCCAAAGTACAATTTCAGTTTAGTGTTGGGATACAAACTAGACTTCCCCCTCACCTGCCTCAAGAGCTTTGTACTTCTATTATAATAATATCCATTACAATTCCTTTTTAATTTTCTTATAGTGTTTTTTATTGGTTCCTTTATTTCTATTTTCATTTTTGTTCTGTTATTCTTTTTATTTAACTCTCTCTGTCTAGGAATTTATCTTATTTTGCTACACAAAGTAGCCCATCTGCTGTCATTTTGAACCTGTGGGAAGCTCGGCATCAGCATGATGGTGACCTTGACTCCCTGGCCTGTGCCCTTGAAGAGATTGGGAGGACACACACGAAACTCTCAAACATTACGGAATCCCAGCTTGATGAAGCCGACTTCAACTACAGCAGGCAAAATGGACTCTAGTCCACTTCCTCTCAAGAGACAGAGTGACGGTCAGCTTCGGGACACATGCTTTAAATGGAAGAAGGAGGCAGCTTTCTGCCAGTGGTATTTGGGGAATTCAGCCTTCATTTATAACCAGTGAGAATCTCTGGTTGAAGAAACTGAATTTAATATAGGTAAAATATATTAGTAGGGAAAAGTACAAGCTCTCTTAAACAAAAGAGGGCTCTGCTGTCCTCTGAATCCATACTTGGGTTAACACTTGATGAACTTCTCAGACTTAAGATGGTAAAGGATAAAAGTGAGGGCATAACTAGACTGAAGTAATTGGTAAAAGATGAGCTACAATAAAGGCAGAGAATAAGTGCATGTATTGAAACAGGTTTTTAATGATGTGCCCCTAAAGGACCAGCTGATTCTGGTACCAGATTATCAAGATATTTCTATTACCTGGCATCTGTGATGTTGGCAATCTTAGTAAAACTGGCTTTCAGAAGTGAAACAGGGTTACCAACTCATTTGTATGACTCGAACAACATCAAGGAGGGCATTTAGAATTTAGAACCTGAGTACATCACACCAGCACCAACCAACCACTTATCTATCCTAGCCACTAAATGGAAACAAGATCTAGAGAGGTAAGATAGACCACAAATGAGTTTTGGCAGTTTACCCCACCTTCATTTTCTTCAAATCTACCCACATTTCCCTTCCTTACCCATTATAGTAGAGGGGTTTCAAGCAGCATAGACTTTTCAATGTAGAAATTTCCTTCTCCTAACTCAACAAAGAGGACTATCTCTATTCCCAGCTAAGCCATTCAAATTGCAGAATGTTAGTAGTACACAGCTTATCACATGGATTTAGAGACAGAAGAGGTTAAATTAGACCCAAGGAAACATGAACTGCAGATGCCACAGTCCTCAAATAAGCTGTAATTTGAGGGTGCAGGTGTTTATCCACGTCCCCAACATTGTTATTCTACAGGAATAAGGGGGTTTTACTGTATTTTCCAATCCAGTTCTTGACATTTTCTAGCCTTTTGGGACTATGTTATCACCAGATCGCTCCATAGGGCTATAATTCCCCCTCCTTTTGCCTCTTGGGAAATTAGCAGATAGCCTTTGCTCTAAATGATATCTGAGTAAATAGACCTCTACCACAATGTCCTAGAAACCATATGCATTGTTCGGGGAGCTTTCAAGCTCTGATAACTTGACCTCACCGAGGATGCTTTCTCTGTGGCACCATTAACATGCTGCTTTATGTTTTAAGTAAGAGGCAATGATACCGTGGAAAATTGAAATCCACAGGTAATTCATGACCCCCGTCGTCACACTTTACTCCATCTTTGATCCTATTTAATCGTTTCTGACAAGATGTCAGGGTAGACTAAAGCTGAAACGCTCTGCTCCTGCTCATCTTCTGGTGGATGTGTTAATTAGCTGTCCACAACCAAGGCCCTAGATTAACCACAAGGCTGATCAGTTACCTAGAGGTTGGCTACATAGGAATAAAATAAAAATAGTCAGGAAATGGGGGAGGTGGGGAGTACCTGGCATTGGGGATATGAGCAATTTTTTTAACAATGTTTTTGTAGATCCCATGTTTTATAAAAAAAAAATGTGGTGAATCTCCACCTAAGGGAAAAGACCTAAAGATAGGATGAATTTATGATACCATGGGTAAGGGGCTGGAGAACCCCTGGAGGTGTTGGCCATTTCTTTAACTAATATGTGGTATATAGGGTATGGTTCCCTATATCTGATAGAAGCCTCTGCTACGTGAAATTCAAAAGCATCTTGCTTTTCTCAGGAACCAAAGGCATATTACATAGAACAAACAAATCCTCTTAGAACTATCAAGCATATTTTCAAAATGCCATATCGAGATCACAGAAACATCATTTTGCTAGTGTTTATTCCTTCTAGGGAACAACAGAGAGAAAGCATGAACATATAAATCATTTGACATCCCTGATATAATTTCTGAAAGAGAAAGAAGTGGAAGTATATGGTCAATCACCCAAAGTAAACTTGAGATTAACTGGCCTGGGTGATATGCAGAAAGAACCCGCATTAACTGTTGAATAATTAGAAGACACGTTATAAAGATTATGTTAGTATCCCTCTTGGAGGATTTTTGTTTTAAACCATCCTACCCTTATTTCCTCTTCCCTCTAATTGGCCTCATAATTGTTTTATCTATTCTGTGAATCCACAAAGATCCTTTTTAGATTTTTGATAAATTTCTTATACTTTAAAAAACAGATGGAAAAGTTTAATGTTTTCTCTAGAATCTATCTAGTTTATTTTTAGAGGTTGTTATCTACCCCTGAATGTTTGGAATTTCCTCCATGGACTTTTTCTTTTTATTTGGGTTTTATAAATGCACTTCACCATCATATCATATTGAGTAACAATTGAAGCAATTTACAATGATTCACCTCTGATATCAGCCCAAGATTCAAATCCATATTTCAGCCCATTTTGTTCCCTCCTTACATTTCTCTTAATTCTGCTAGGATCCCACATACAACTTCTACAGAGATGCATGAAATTCTGTGACCATTTCATGTCAGGATTGTTTGAATCCTATTTTGCAACAGAATTCCAAAAAGAACCCAGGCTTGTGAGATTTACAAACCAAAGTGTGTGGGTGGGTGTGGCAGGGAGCATAGAATTGTAGAACAGGTGGACTGAACTGACAAACTGTGGGTACTCACTGTGACCCAAACCCTTGAATATTTGCCTGTCAATACAAATTTCCCTCTTGAAAGAGATTTACTTGTCATTCCAAGCCCTTACTTTATAAGTGTTACTGTCCTAATGCGAAATGAATCAAGAAATTAAAAGTGCCCTTTAATACTTGGTAGGCTACTTAAAGTTTTTACAAAATAGCCTACTTAATGCCAAGTCTTTTTGTCCTCAAAGGTATTTACGTCTAATAATCATGCTTTAAACTTGACTTAAAATCATGCCACCAAAATGGTACACTTCACGGCTTCACCAGACTGCAGCACCATCAAGTTAATTTACAATTTTTACAACATTGCTTGTGCAGTCTTTGTAGTTTACACTAAAATCCTTTAAGCCAAAAAAAGGAAGCTCACTCTATGGATTTAAATGCAAACTTCATTTACTGATGCAGAAAGTCTCATAAAACTCAGATGTACTCTCACAAAAATTTTATTGGCCTTTTTGTAAGACATGAACAGGAATTGACACAGTTCTCTTTAAAGAGGGGAACTTTTCTCTATTTTTTATTATTTTTATCTTCAACTGCAATGTTATCCTTTGCCATGTCCCTCTGTTTTTTTTGTGGTTTTTTTTTTCAGTTGACTTTGAGAGGGGATATTAAGTTAGGTGATTAAAACAGGGTTCTTTTTGGATTAAAAGTTCTGGATTTATTGCAACTACTTTCCTTAAAAGACATTCTCAACATCAGGATTTGATAAGCAAAGGTAGAATGTTATAATGGCATAATTGGTTTTGGATAGTATTCTCCACTTGCCAAACTTCTGGCAAATCCACCTGTGAATTTCAAAATGTCATAAAATCTTTTGATGTGCTTTTGTCTTTCTTTTTTGCCATTTTTCTCTTGAATTTCTTAGTCCCTCTGTAAAGGTGTTTAATAATATAGTTAACAGATGTGTTGAAGGTGACATTCTCTCAGAAGTCTTTGTTCCAGATCTGTGAAGGTCACAGGAACCATGAAGGAGCTGAGAGATGTGCTTCTCTGGCCCACTGTGTGGCAATTTTCATTCATTTTCCTCATGAAACATTGCAAAGTTCTGAATCCTTAGTAACTCCCATCGACTGGACCAGAGTCCACATCCATAGCAAATGGGAGAGCAAACTGTGTCGGACAGATAGCGACAAAATTTTATTAGCACTTGGGTGTTAGTGGCCATAGCTCTGTATTTGAAAATTGATGCTTTAGCCAAAAGCTGAATGACCACTGTTTCCGCAGTTTCCACTGTTTTGTCTGCATAGAATTTTCCTGAACTACACGCAAAAATGTATTTTGTCAAATGTCACAAAGTGAAAATGTTGCTGATTTTAGACGTGTTGCATATTCTGTGTTTTTACTTTCCAAACTCTTTCAAAAGCTGCAGTTATAAAGCTGTTTGGCTGTATTGACAGCATGTGGTGTTTTTTGCAAAAGCAGTTCTAGGAGAGCCAGTGTCTACCATGGACTCCTCACATCCCCACTCCAGGGTTGTCCACAAAAACCAAAATGGCAATTTGTATGCTGTCGTTTTCAAAAAGCAAAAGGGGATGAAAACCAGACCTGGCCATTAGTCACTAGTGTGTAGTACTGTGATCTGAAGTAGGAAATTTAACTCAAGTAGAATAATTGTGGTTTTTGAAGCAGCTACTTTGCTTTTTTCCTTTTGCTGTGAAGATCATGGATTTGGAATGTCCTCATGAGGTGGGCCTAAGACAATAACATAAAACTTCATGTCTTAGAGCCCACCCTTCATCTGAACCCAAAGATTAAAATAGGCAGTAAGCTTCATATTTAAGCCTGAGTTTAAAAATGTCCTCTCCCACCCCTAATATTGAGTTTGTCAGGGGGTATATGTCTTTTTTTTCTTTCTCCCCCACCCAAAAAAAAGTTATAGCCCTGAATTATAAAATATGTTACTAAATTTGATAATGTAATTCTTTGCATGAATGGAAATGTATGTTAAATACTCTTACAAAAGGCATGATTCTAATGAAAATGTCCTTTTGCCTCAAATTTTGCTAAGCCCAAAATGTATTTCACTATTTCAGACATATACATACAAATTCCAAAATTAGACAAATGATACAATTCTCTTAATATCTGATATAGTAGGTAGAGATTTAACTGTGATTCTATATTGAATCATGATAAGGAAAGATGATATTTGAGGGAGTTTGTAAGCACAATGTCATGATTTAGGGCCCCAATACTGAAATACAGACATTACAATAAAAAATAGGCCTAATAATTCTAATATCCCTCCATTAGGGAGGTCTGATGATGCTGAAGGGAGATCAGCCCTTGCCAGGGGCTTCATCTAAGTCTCATCTCAATCTGAAACTGTCTCCAAGGCCCATCCTAGATTATGTCAGTCGTTCCCATTCAAAACTTCTCTGCAAGAAAGTGGATAAAATTCAGTCTGTGGAAACTTTCTGGTCAGGAAAACAATCTTTTCTAAATTAGAACAAAGACTGACTTAAAAAGTCCCATTCTTCATAATTGATTCTAATTGGTACATGCAATCCAATAAGTGTTGACCTAGAAACATCCCAAATATAAGCAATTAGAGAAAAATTGGCATATTCTTTTAACCAAAACTCAAAAAAAATATGACTAATTATTTATCTCAATTTCTGTATGGGAGAATTTCAAAACATTTTATTTTGTTCTGTTTATTTGGGGAAGGTGCATGGGCGGGGAGGGGGAGGGTGTCTTTCAAGTGATTCATACCTCAACCCCATACCACTCTCAACTTTTATTTGACGTGTTCAACGCCAACAAAAACAAGCAAACAAAACAACAAACTGAATACTTAATTTAACATGAGGCTGAAGGAGTGAGCAAGCCAGAGGAGAGAGTTTGAATAAAGCATGGCCTTGGCTTCATACCACACTTTTTGTGCCTTGTATTATCAATGTAAATTCTGAATGTTGTACAGTAAATACTTGGATGGACTTCTTAGAAAAGGCTGCACTGGCTTCTTTTTCAGCACATGTACATATCTATAAATATATATACATATATATTTGGTAATGCCAAACAGCTGTGTTATATTGTATTGAACAAAATGGACAGTTTGGATGTTTTATGTAGAGTTTGCAAAAAAAAAAAAAAACAACTGGATGGTTACAGACTTTTCAAGATAAATGTACAGACGTAAATTCCTGCTTACCAGTTATTTATGAATAAAGAGTCTTTTATTGACATTTTAGGATACTCCATGAGTAGAACTCTGAAATCCCAATGAGGACCCCTCTCTACGTACCTCCTGCCACATCTGGGCAGGGGCTGGAATGGCCTCCACATCAAGGACAACTTCCAAATACCTGTTAATATATTGGACCTAATTTCTCTTTCTGGCCTCAAGAAGGAGAGCCTATGAGGCTATGGAAGCAAAGACGAAATTATCATTTTACATGCCCACCTCACCACAACACCCACATTCACAACTTTCTTAGAATTTAGTTTTGTGGACTCCGAGATAATCCTAGCCATACCATTACTGAGATAACCATTCACCTTATTCCTCAAAATGTGTGGGTTATTTCTACAGACTGCAGAGAAAATGTTCTGCCTCTCCATGGGAAAATATTAAGAAAATAAGTACATTTCAGATACATCTTCACTGATTCAATCTGTTTGAAATGGTTTTTAAATGCTGGAAGCACCCAAGAATTCAATAACTATGGAGCACTGGTCAGAGCCAGTTTAAACAGTATGATCTACTCAAAGGTGGTTTCTGATTTAGTTAAATTAGTGGTTATAAATTAAAAGATTAAAAATTGCTTTAAACCAGTATTTTCCAGAATCTTTTCTTAAAATATCATTTCCATAGAAAGATAACAGGATTGTTTTGTATTTTTGTTTTCAAATTAAGCTTGGAAAGCTATGGAAAATGAAACACCATTCTCTAACCTAGATTTCTGAAACCCTTTATTTGTATGATGAATCTAATATTTATGATGGTTCTCCAAAAAGGGGAGTATATGCAACATTTCCTACACTTTTTTATTATATATTTTTTTTGGATCATCATGTGGAACTAGTAAAAATGGGTATGAATATCCACAAAGTAGCTGTGAGTGGTTCCAACTGTTTTCTGACCACTTTAAGTTATGTAGCACTGTAAAGCTGATTAAGCATATTTTAAAGTTACTTGTAAAATGAGAATTGGTTCTAACTAACTAAACTAGTAAATCACTATGATTAGGCAGAACCAAGTTGAAAATTCAGAATAATTTGGTTAGGACAAATAAATTCAATTTGAGTTGGTCAAAATAGATTTTAACTAGAAAAATGCTGTGACTGACATAAAGATCCAGCCATCACTAGTTCATCCAGATGAAAACTTCACAGATCAACTTGAACCTGTAATAAACTGTTCAAAATAATTTTTAAATATTTTTGTTTAAAAAGTATTTTATCTTGTTAGGAACTAATTTTGAGTGGATTAAGGTACTTTGAACTAATTTATGTTTGTTCTATGTAGCCAATATGTATTAGAATCTGATCAAACTTATTCTGATAGGGGTTACTTATTCATTAAAAAAATATTTACTTAGCATTTACTACATGGTAACAGAGTCTGGATCCAAAGCCTGACTACCAGTTAGCATTTGAGATCAGGCAAAATACTTGACATTTCTATTTCATCTATAATATAGGGATGATAAAAGAAATTTAGATCATTTACAAAGTTTGAAGATTAAATGAAAAACAAAAAAAAGTGAAGCGCTTAGCATGGTTCATAGTAAGCAACCAACTGCCTCTATAGCTTGTCTTATTTTAGAGAGGCAGTGTGTATAGTAGTTAACAAAATGTATTGGAACAACACATGCTAAGGTAGTAATCCTGAGTCTGCCCTTCTCTGGAATACATGACTTCAGCCAAGAAACTCTTTATCTTTACAAGGAGATGATCATATCAAGCTCACTGGGCCCAAAATAAATGTTCAAGAAACAGTATACAGTACTGTTCTGCTTATTGATGAAAATAGCTCTGAGAAATGTGTCCGTAGGCAATTTTGTTGTGTGAACAACACAGAGTGCACTTACACAAGCCTGAATGGTATTAGCCTACTACATACCTAGGGTCTATGGGGTAGCCTACTGCTCCTAAGCTACAAGCCTGTACAGGATGTTACTGTACAAAACAACATGAAGCTAAATCAAGTACAAGAAAAATAAAGATACAATCAAGAGGCATGGTAAATGATCTATGAGGTTGCTGCAGGCGTAACATACATACTGTTTTAGAGCAAACTTATTTTTTATAGTAGTCCATGCTAAAATCACAATCAAAAGTATAGTATAGTAAATGCATAAACCAGTAACATAGTCATTTATCATCATTACCAAGTATTATGGACTGCACATAATTGTATGTGCTATACTTTTATACAACTGGCAGTGTAGTAGGTTTGTTATCAACAAAGGCATCACCATAAACATGTGAGTAAGGCGTTACGCTAAGATTTCTTTATTGTAGGGCCTCTCAAAGGTCTGTACATAATAGCTGACACTTTTTGAATAGAGTAGTCTGTCCTTATTCGAGGGAATATTTTCAAAAACCCCCAGTGGATGCCTGAAACTGGGGATCATACCAAACCCTATACATACTATGTTTTTTCCTATACATAGAGACCTATGATAAAGTTTAATTTATACTGAGGAAAGTGAAATCACAGACAGCAAGCAAGACTGTGGATAAGGAGAGCAGGGGACTGGACTTTCAATGTGCTAGGTACTTTACATGGATTTACTCATTTAGTTCCCTAGCAACCAAATGAAGTCAGTACCATTGTTACTCACATTTTGTAAATAGGGAATCTGAAGAAAAGAGAAGTTATGCTAATGTGCATTTTTAATCACTCAGCCAAGGCTCTTGTTTACAATATTTCTCAGATATCTATCACCAACTAACTCCTATTTAATGAGCATGGGATAACATCTCCCAGTTCACATTTGGGGATTCACTTCTCTAAAGATGTGTAAGAGATAAATTGGGTCCTCCATCCTAAATAAATTTAGTGCAAATTTTCTTCAACTTCTTTTTTCTCATCAACCCATTTCTTTGCTCTATGTAGCATTTCTTATCTCTACACATATGGCAAGTCCATGGCAACCTTTTCAACATTTTAATTCTTGCCTGTGAATGCTTGATTGAACCATGTTCCTCTATAACTAATTACAAACGCACCCTTAAAACTGATGAGAATGAGTTGTAAATATCTGCTCGATCTTATAAAGACTACTTCTAAAAGCTGGAGGCATCTTTACAAATAATGAAATGACTTGTAACAAATAACCTTGCTCTCTCTGGGGTCAGAGAAAAATTCAATGTATCCCTCCTTTCAAAGGTGTGAGTGTTGGGTGGGGTAAGATGCCATGCAAGAGCCCAGAGTAGGTAAGATGTCACTAACTGAAGAAGGTTCTAATCTTAGCTCTCATGCAAATCAGTGGAGTCTCAGGCAATTTTACTTTTTGAGTCTCAATTTCCACGTCTGTTAAATCAGCATCATGAATATCCTGTCCCACTAACTACATGTGGCTATGGCAAGGATCAAAAGAAATACTATGTGTGAAAAAAATAATATTATAAAAGCCCTATGCAGGGATTTTAACACAAAGAAAAAAACTACACAATGACTATCAATTCATACTTTTAAGCCAAATTGATTGTTAAGACATGCAGGTAAAAATTTAAAGTGACCTATACATGTTCCTTCCCTTCCTCTTATCCGTAGGTTCAATAATTTGGTTAGAATAATCAGAAAAACAGAAATGGAATTTTCTCCTAGAATTGCATCTCCAGAAATCCAAGTACTTTGAAAAAGATCATCAATATCAGTGTGCTCTTGACATGATAAATAAAAAATTATATAAAATGCTAAAGTCAGCTACCATTTTGTTGTCACTAAAAGGAGAGTTAACACTTCTTTTCTGGCTTTTATGGGCCCAAACTATCATTTCTTTTTATTGTCCTTTATATTCTTGACCACAAACAAACAAACATTTGCATTGTATTGGCTTACTAGTTTACCCAGGTCTTAAATTTATTAAGAAATAATATTCA